ACATACCAGTGGGTGCTGCAGCCTAGTAGGGGCAACTCTCAATAATCCCCTCAAGGCCCACACCCAGCCCTAGTTTTTATATGTGCCAGCTTTTGCTGTGGCCTCGTCAGGTCCATTCCACATTTCATCTGGCTTTTATACACACCCATGGGTGCTGAGCTTAACTCAGCCTACTCCATCCCAAGAAGGGGCCCACACATATACCGAAGGGTATCACTGCCTTGTCCAGCCTGAGCTGCCCACAGCCCTGCTTCTTGTGCTCACCAGTGGTAGATACAGTGCCCACCTTGACTGGCCTGCACCCATTCTGGCTCCTACCAGTGTGTATGGGCATAGTTACAGCCTAGCCCACTCTGGTCTGCCTCCAGACCTAGCCTACACACATGCCAGTGGGTGCTGCAGCCTTGCCAGCCTGGTCTGTCCACAGCCTTTGCTCTTGCACACACCACTTGGAGCTGTAATCCAGCAGGGGTGTCTCCAGAATTCCCCTCCTAGGCCCATTCCCAGCCCCGGGGTCTTGTGCATGCTGATGGGTGCCTTGACCCATCTGGGGTTGGCCCACCCCCAGACTCAGCTCTTACTGGCAGATGTTGCAGCCTAGCCCAGCAGGGTGTGGGGCTTATCCTGTCCTGGCTCGTGCTTGCCAGTGGTGCTGCAGACTTGTCCGGTCTGGCCCACTCCCAACCCTGGCTCTTGTGCTGCCAGTGGGGGCTACAGCTTAGCAGGGGTTTCCCTACCAGGCCTGCTCTTAGCCCTGGATCTCGGGCACGTCCGTGGGTACAGTGACCATGCTCAGCATGGTCAGCCCTCAGTCCTTTATATTTACTTGAAGGGCAGATTTGCAAAGAGAGAGACAGGTAGTCATCTGCTGGTTCACTCCCCAGATGACCACAAAGGTCAGAGTCAAGTCAGGCTGAAGCCAGGAGCCAGGAAGTTCTTCCAGGGCCCCTACATGGGTGCAGGGGCCAAAGCACCTGGGCCATCCTCCACTGCTTTTCAGGCAATCAGCAGGGAGCTGGATGGGAAGTGGAGCAGCTGGGACAAACTTACTTAAAAATCTTTATTTATTTTTATTTGAAAGATAGAGTTATATTGAGGAGAGACAGGGAGAGAGATCTTCCGTCCACTAGTTCATTCCTCATATGCTGGTGCTGGGTCAGTCCAATCCAGGAGCCAGGAGTACCCACGCGGGGTGCTGTACCACATTGCAGGTCTAAAATCCGTTTTATTTATTTATTTATTTTTAAAGAAACATCTTTTGGTTTTGTGGCTCTTCACTACCTTGTTTTTGTTCTCTTTTTTGTTATTTTCTGTTCTTATTTTTATAGATTCTTTTTCCTCATATTGCTATAGCTTTGTTCAACTGTTTTTTTCCCCTAAATTTGAGGAGGCATTTTAAGTCATTTAATGTTGAAATTTCTGGTTCCAATGAATGTATTTGAAATTTTAAAATTCTAAGTTATCCTAATGTTTCTCTGTGAGATATCTTAGCTCAATGCACCATAAGGCCCACTCGGTTACTCTGCCTTGCAAATAAATATTTTGCTTTTCTTATTTTAAAAAGCTTTATTTTTATTTTCGTTTATCCTTCAAAAGAAAGTGTTAGAGAGAGAGAGAGAGAGAGATCATGTGTTTGCTGGTTCACTCTCCAAATGGCTGCAAAGGCCAGAGCTGAGCCGGTCTGCAGCTGGGAGCCAGGATCTTCTTTTGGGTCTTCCATGTGGCTGCGGGAGCCCAAGGACTTGACTCATCCTCCCTGCTTTCTCAGGCTAAGATGCACTGCTGCTCATATGGGATGCCTGCATGAAGCTGGAGGATTAGGCAGATGTGCCATCCTGTGCCCCTTTTAATTTTATTCAGAAGACAGATTCTTCTAGAAGAAGGAGAAGAAGAAGAAGGAAGAAGAAGGAGGAGGAGGAAGAGGAGGAGGAGGAAGGAAGGAAAGAGTGAGAGGCAGGGAGAGAGATGCCATTCATCTACCAGTTCACTCCCCGAATGGCTGTGATGGCCAGGGCTGGGATGGGCCAGGCTGAAGCCAGGAGCTTCTTTCAGTCTCCCGTGTGGGTGCAGGAGCCAAAGCACTTGGGCCGTTTTCCACCGCCTTTGTAGGTGTGTTAGCACCGAGCTGGACAGGAAGTGGAGCAGTGGAAACTTGAACTGTTACTCAAATGGGGCCAGAATCACAGGTGATACCTTCACTCACTATGCCACATCAGCTTAACATCTGGCTCTAAATGAACTAATTTTCCTTCTGTCTGCCTTTTTAAAATCTTATTTTTATTGGAAAGACAGATTCACAGAGAGAAGGAGATATAGAGAGAAAGATCTTCCGTTCACTGGTTCACTCCCCAAGTGGCTGCATGTCCGGAGCTCAGCCAAATTGAAGCCAGGTGCCAGGAGGCTCCTCTGGGTCTCCCATGTAGGTGCAGGATCTCAAGGCTTTGGGCTATTCTCCACTGTTTTCTCAGGCCACAAGCAGGGAGCTGGAGGGAAGGTGGAGCAACTGGGACACGAACTGGGGCTGATATGGGATCTCAGTGGATGCAAGGCGAGGATTTAGCCACTACGCTATCGCACTGAGTCTTTTTGTCTGACTTTTTAAGTTCATGATATTTATCAACTTTCAGATTACACACCAGGAGAATTCTAAATGTCCTTTTGTTATTAAGTGTTTGTTTTGGGGACCAACACCATGGTTTAGTAGCCTAAGACTCTGCCTGTGGTGTTGGGATCCCATTTGGGTTCCAGATCCACCTACAGCCCCTCCACTTCCAATCTAGCACCTTGGTAATGCACCTGGGAAGGCAGCAGCAGATGACCGGGTCCCTGAACCCATGGAGGAGGCACAGAAGAAGCGCCAGGCTACTGTCTTCAGATTAGCTCAGCTCCAGCCATTGTGTCTGTTTATAGAGTGAACCAGCAGATATAAACCCTCTTGCTCTCTGTCTCCTTCTCTCTGTGCGTGACTCTCTCTTTCAAATAAAAATAAGTAAAACTTTAAAAAGGGTGCTTGCTTTGAGAGTTAACCTTGCCCTGCCTCCCCAGGGAGCCATGCACCTGAGGCTTCCAGTGGAGTTGGGCAAGAGTGGAAACCCTCCTTGGGGTGGGGTTGCTTCTCAGGCTTCCCCTCTTTAGTCTCCTGGTTTCGCCTCTTGTGCTTTGTAGGCTCCCAGAATTTCTAGCTGGGTTCAGTGATACAGGGACACAGGGTTTTTCCCCTTTCCTCTCCTCTTCTCTCCTCTCTCTTTGTAAACTCCATGTCCCAAGTATTCCACAAAGCCAATTCACCGCCCTCTCCAACTTATTTTTGTCTGAAAAGCAGACAGACACAATGAGGCATCTTCCATCCACAATGAGGTTCACTTCCCAAATGCACCCCATGTGGATACAGCTCCTGGTTCTGGGTCAGCCTGAATTCAAGCCATACCCCACACTCTTGCGCTGTTATCTGCTGCCTCCCAGGGTGCATGCGGCAGGAAGCTGCGATCGCCAGGACTGGAAGCTGTTGACCTGACACCGGATGCAGGTGTCCTAAACAGTCACTTAAATGTGACATGAAGCACCAGCTTCGTGAGATAAGTTCTCAAACTATTATTTTAAAATTCAAAATAAATTAAACATCATCAGAAGCAAGGCTTTTGTAACTTGAGATGTTTCCAAGCTTCTTTGGTTTAGCCCAAGCTCCTTCTGCCATGGTACCTTGGTTGATGTAACTGCTTAATCCTTAGCAAAATGGCATTGTGTGATGGCACTGTGAGCTACCTTAGAAATCAGCAACCGTTTCTCTCCGCAGGAGAGGAAATGAGGGCTCACAGGAGAATGGGTCCCACCATTCAGGAAGTGCCTTGCAAGGAGCGCACCAGCTGCACTTTGTGTAGCACAGTTATTCAGGCATCTGCTAACAGCTTCCTAACTGCCAGCGCGTTGCTGGGCTGATGGTTACAGACGTCAAGGAACAGGTGACATGCAGAGCTCCAGGCAATGGACAGTTCTGCCTGCGGGTAGAAGGGAGGGATGATAACCCTGAACTCCAGACCCTAGCCTTGAACTGTGGTCAAGAGACATAGTCTTTCTAAGCCCCATCATCCCTCAGTAGATACCTAAGTAGGGTGTTTTTAAAAAATGTTTATTTGAAAGGCAGAGTGACAGGTGGAGAAGGATAGACACAGAGAGAGATCTTCTATCTGCCAGTTCACTCCCCAGTAGGCCACTACAGTCAGATTTGGGCCAGTCTGAAGCTGGGAGCCAGGAGCTTCCTCCTGGTCTTCTAAACAGGTGGAGGGTTCCAAGGACTTGGTACCATCCTCTGCTGATTTTCTAGGCCATAAAGAGAGAGCTACATCGAAGTGGAGTGGTTGGGACATGAACTGGTGCCCCTATGGGATGCTAGCACCACAGGGTGGAGGATTAGCCTATTTGTCACTGTGCTGGCCCCCCAATCCTGCTCCTCATGCAAGCTTCCAGAAAAGATGTTCAGCTTTTTTTTTTTTTCAATTTGAGTTCTACAGAGATACACTTCATAAAGCATTTGCCCAATGACTTTTTAAATTGCTTGAGTTATTGTTATTACTCATTGAAGGTCCCATGTGCCTCCTCTCCAAATGCTGAAGTGTTGATTTGTAATGTGAATGCATACGCTGGGGAAGGAGTTCTCTCCCACGTGAGCTTTCTGGTGCTGCTGCCTCTGTGTGTGGCTGTCTCATCCGCCATCAGTCTCAGCCTTAAAGGAAGGCGTCCCAACTCCTCAGTTGCATCCTCATCACAGTGAGGCTTTGTGTTGACTGTTCTATCTCGCAGTCACTCAGTACGAGATGATCTGCTTGGTTAGATTCCTTTCTACCTCTGGTATATCCAGGCTTCAGGCCTGGGAGTGAGGGACAGAAATGCAGGCTGACCTCTGGCAGGGAAGCGGTTCCTTCCTAAGCATCATCTTCTGGAGCCCCTCTTCCCCATGGACCACACATCTCACAGAGCCCCTGTTCCCCATGGACCACACAGCCTTCTGCTCCTAGAAAGTTTATTACAAAACAAGAAAGTTGAGAAGGCATCACTCATCATAAAACTTGGGCAACTCGTTGCCCAAGATCACTCGGTGGTCCACGCCGGCAGCGGTGATGGTGACCAGGTAGATGACACCCCCACTCGAGCCATCCCGGTTCATGGCCAGAGTGATGGCTGCAGGGGGTTTGGGTTGGAGACAAGGAGAGAGAGATTTAGCTTCCAAAAATGTCCTCTTCCCCTCTGCCCTTGGCCATTCCCAATTCACTGCAAACTCATCTTCAAGAGAAGTGAAATTGGTCTTGTGCTGATAAACTGGCTTAAAAAAAAAAGCTTTCCCATGTAGCACCTGCTGACATTCATGGAGGAAGTACTTTGATTTCAGGCTGCAAATAGCTTATCTAGCAGGGCACAGATCCTTGGCTGGGTAACAATCAGCTCCCAGGGACTGGGCCAAGTTGTGCCAGTATGCCACTAAATACACCTCCCTGGTTTTTATGCTGCCCACCCCTCCCAGCCTGGTTTACTCAGAATCTCCCGATGTGCCCCTTTCTGTCCACACATCCCACCGAGTTCCCCATGTGAACGTTCAAGTCCATGGCTCCTCCCTGCTCCTCACAGTCTGCTTCCTTCCCCATCACAACCCTCCCTGGACCCTCCCATCTGGTGAGTTACCATCTGTGGTGAAGCGTCTGCATTCCTCAGGGGACATGCCTGGCTTGTAGGCCGCATCCACGTAGCCATAGATGTAGGTGCTGCCAGAGCCGCCGATGGCAAAGGGCTGTCGGATGAGCATTCCTTCCAGGGTACCGTACACCTGGTGGCGGTGATGGGGACATTGGTAGGTGAGTCTAAATGGCCATCAAGCCTCCACTTCCTGCTGTGAATCTTTAGTCACTCAGGTCCCTTATGGTGGGGACTTCATTGTGCTTTCCATTGCTAGAATAACATAGGCCTTCTGCCTCCCTCTGTGGGACATGAGGACCCCTGTGGGAGGCACCCACCTGGCCCCCTTGCTGCTGGTCCCAGCCAGCTACCATGAGGTGGGCCGACAGGTCCTCCCGGTACTTGTAGCTGATGTTCTTTACCACGTTCGCAGCAGCCAGAACGAGTGGAGGCTCCTCCAGTTCCAACCTGCAGGAGGGGTAAGGAACAAAGGTGGGGATAAAGTTTCTAAGTCACAGCCTCTCTGCCATCACCATCGTGCCTGCCAAGTGATACTTGGAACCCAACACGGCAATAGTTCAAACTCCGCTTCCCTCTCGCGTGTGCAGGGGACTATGGGGCTGTGCACCACCAACTGGTAAGAAGCTTCCAACTGCTCACCCCTGCTTACCCGGCCCCACCCACCTGCCCCTAAGGACAAGCTTCTCTTTTGACTGCAAGAACCCTGCCCTTGTCGGTCAAAGCAGATAAGCTTTAGTTCTGCCTCAACGACCGACCGTGATTTCTCAACGTAATTGCCTGACGTTAGAGTGGTCTGCGCCGTTAGTTTCTTCCTAGTTATATTAGGCTGAGATGGATCTTTTTCAAATGCTTTTCATATCAACTATCTGATTCGGAACATAACCCTCTGGTGGGGTAGGGTTGTCCTATTTCTCTGGTAGGTGCAGACACAGGTTTAAGGAGATTTGTGCTCCAGTTCAAAGCTAACACAAGCGGAAGCCCACACAAGAACTCCTTATTTCCCTGGGCAGCGCTCCCTGGCAGAGGTCGTGGTGTAAGGGCTTGCAGGCTGGAGCAGCTCCTGTGGGCATGGAGCATGCAGCCCAGAGTGTCATACCCATGGAGCTCCAGCTGGTAGGCGGCCATGTCAGCAATGGCCTGGGCATCGGCGGCCGAGCCCGAGAGGGCACAGTAGATGCGCTGGTGGAGGGGAGATAGCTTGTCAAACACCCGGTTCACCACCGCCTGTCTGAAGAAGAGTCTACAGTCAGCAGGGTCAGTCACCCGAGGCTTTCATGCTTATTTGGCAAGAGAACAGTATGATATGCAACGATTGGATCAAACTGGGGAAAAAAATAAACCATTTCAAATAAATGCATTATTACAAGTATTAATAAAAATTAGACTCATTCGGAGCCTTTGATTGCAAAAATAGTAAATAAAAAGTGCCTCCTCCCAATTTTTTTTGTTATTAATCATCTTGAAGGACTGTGTCATGAGCTACAAAATGTAGTGTAAATAACATGGACAGGGATCCCCAACTCTCGTTTAGCACATGAGGACGCTGGGTGGGAGGGGAGAAAGGAGACAAAATGAATTCAACTCATGGGAAAGGGGGAAATTCCATCTCCGGTTGCAGAGACTATGGCTTTTATTCTTAAATTCATACAGAAGCAGGGCTTCCCCAGGACTGCCTCCTGTTCACCTCGGGCCTTGTCCGTGGATGTGCGTCCCTGGACAAATTCAGCACAGGAACGGGCCACACAAGCATGCATAGCCCAGGGCCTCTGCCGTTAACACAGAGGCTTTTTGCACAGATAGTTCCATTTCTCCATGGTGTGGGTCCCTCAGTCATTTAGTGGATGAATAAGGGAGACGCAGCTCAGCGCTTGTCTTCCCTGGCACTCACCCTGCAGACACTCGGGAATCAGAACCCACCACGACGCCCCCATCAAACTCCACCGCCATGATGGTCGTCTGCAGACACATAGGGAGAAAGTGTCAGGCTCCAGGGGCCTGGGTTCCTTATGCCATGGTTCCAGGGGCCTGGGTCCCCCATGCTGTGGCTCCAGGGGCCTGGGTCCCCCATGCCATGGCAGATGAAGCACCTTAAGAGAGGGCAGGTGGCTGGCTAAGGTTGACCAGTAGCCCAGGGCACAGCTGGCTCCAGAGTAGGCTCCAACTGCATTGAGTGCTCTTTCCACTTTCTCTGTTACTTCATCCAGTTCCAGGGGAATGTCCCAGCTGGTTGCTATACAGCACAGCACTGTACTGTATCCCTCAGCCTCTACTCTCCTCCCTGGGGTCCTCTACAGAGGGGCGCTGGGATGATATCCTTGGAGACAGACATGGGGAGAGGCTCAGCATCCTCCCCCTTGCCCTCCATTTACTTACAGACGAGCTCCATCAGTGTACCATGCAACGAGTGGCACTGAGAGGTCACCAGCTGGTACAGCTGGGAATCAAAGCTGGAGGGAAGCAGCAAGGAAGGCACAAGATGCTTTAAAATACAAGATTTTGGCATGGTGGCTCAAAGGCTAAATCTTGCATCTGCCAGGATCTCATATGGTCACTGGTTTGTGTCCTGGCTGCTGCACTTCCCATCCAGCTCCCTGCTAATGGCCTGGGAAAGTAGTGAAGGATGGCCCAAAGCCTTGGGACCCTGCACCCGTGTGGGAGACCTGGAGAAAGCTATTGGCTCCTGGCTTTGGATCGGCTCAGTTCCTGCTGTTGCGGTCATTTGTGCAGTGAATAAAATGATGGAAGATCCTCATCTCTCCTCTCTTCTTAAATCTGATCTGCCTTTCCAGTAAAGATAAACAAATCTTTAAAAAATATAAACAGGTTCTTGGGGCCAGTGTTGTGGTATAGTGGGTTAAGCCTGAGCCTATGACACTGGCATTGTGCATGTATGCCAGCTTGTATGCAGGCTGTTCCACAGCCGAACCAGTTCCTTGCTAATGCAGCTGGGAAAAGCGGCAGAAAATGGCCGAAGTCCTTGGGTCCCTGCACCCACATGGGAGACCCGGAAGAAGCTCCTGGCTTCAGCCTGGCCCAAACCCTGACCCTTGTGGCCATTTGGAGAGTGAACCAGCAGATGAAGATCTCTGTCTCTGGAACTCTATCTTTCAAATAAATGAACCTTTAACAAAAAGAAAGGTCTCACTTTACGAACTCTCTGACCAAGAGGTGAACAGACACCCATCTCAGCTGGGACAGGCACCTGCACCAAGAGAGAAGCCACCCCAGGGAATCTGAGCTAATTTTGAGAGATCGGGTCACTGAAAGATTGAAGGAAGCATGAAGGAAGTGACGCCACCCTTTGATTTTTTACTTTTGCTTTGGAAGAAAATGGAAAAACCGTTGACTTCAATGAGGAAGCGGAGTCCTTCAGAAGGCAGATGACGTGCCCAGCGGCACAGAGAAGGAACAGCAGAGCTGGGACTAAACCCCAGGGCTAACTCCTGCCTCTGCCTCTACTTCACTTCTCATTTCTCTGTCTACTTGGCAGCCAGCTCCTTCTGCTACAATCCTCAGCCTCCACAGATCAGCCCATCCAGGGGTAGCTCCACTTATGTGTGACAAAGCCGCCCCCCAGCCAAGAGTGTCATGTGAGAGCAGAAGCCAGCCAGCCTTGGGGCTGTCACAGGTGTGGAGGCCCCCTCCCCCTTCCGCCAGGTACCGGGGGCTGCTGCCACTGAGCCAAGCTGGGGAACCCGTTATCAGCGCTTGGGCTGCGGGCTGTCCAGGCCTCCACCAAACGCCCATAGCCGTCTCCACGTTGCCAGCAGCACCTCGTCCTCTCCTGCTGGCACTGTCCCTGAGCCCCCACCTCTGGTTTAACTAGCCCCTAGGAACTAGATCAGAGTGAAAGCGAAAGCAGTTCAGCGCAGCTTGCCCTGACTCCTCTAGCTCAAAGTTAAAGCACTGCTCGACTCCGGCCCCAGCCTAGGAGAGTGGGGGGACGAGACCTTTCCTCGACCCTAAACCACCCCCTTTCCCCAGAAGGACCTCCTAGGTCCGGTACGCAGTGCAAACGCCGGCCGCTACCAGCAACTTCCCCCGTGCTTCTGTCATTCTCTGCACTCCTCGACGTTTCCCCGGCCGCGCCACCTCCTCCGCCCCTCCGCTTTCCCTCCAGCCCAGGCCCATTACCCCGGTGTGCACTTCGCCGGCCCGGGGCCAGTCCCCCGCAGGTGCTTCAGCCCGCAGCATCCCGGCCGCCTCTGACACAGGTTCGCAGCCCGGCGGAGCGCGCAGGTCAGCGCTCGGCCGGCGGTCCCGCCCCTCGCCACGCCCGCCAGAGGGCGCCCGTGAGCTCCGGCGGGGGCGTGGCACCGGGCGCTAACCCGAGCACCGCGGATCTGCCCGGAGACTGGTGACGCGCCGGCCGGCTCCCGGCGTCGGTGGGAAAACTGGCTCGGGGGGCTCCGCGGAGCGAGGGAGCGCGCTCCGGGGTCCGTGTGCGCGGAAAGCGGGGCTCCAGGGCTGCCCCCCAAGACCTGGGAGCTGACGTCGGCGCTGCTGCCCAGCCAGTGCCGCCTCGCCTTGCGAGTGGGCGGAGGGCCAGGGCGCGGCAGCCCGCTTTCCGTTTCCCTTTCCCCTAACCCGCTGCGCTTCTTGGTAGCGTGGCCCGGACTGGCCGGTTGCGGGGACTTTCCTCGGCCCGGCCCCTGGGCCTCCGCCCTCGGTGCGTCCCGGCGTCCCGGACGGCGCGCGGGGACAGCGGCGACTCCCTGGCCGGGCCGGCTCCCGGGTGCACGCCCGCGCGCCCATGGCGAGCTCGGGGCCGCCGGCTGGGGGCCGGTGCCTCGGCCTCTCCCGCGCGTCCTGGGGCGCGTCGCTGCTGCTGCTGCTGGCCGACTGGACGCTGCTGCGGGTCGCGCTGCCCGGGGTCTTCTCGCTGCTGGTCCCCTGGGCGTCGCCGCTGCTCCGGGTGTGGGCGGTGGGCCTGAGCCGCTGGGCCGTGCTGCGGGCCGCCGCCCGCGGGGTGCTCGGGGCCGCGCGCGTCCCGGGATGCCTGGCCGCTTGGGAGCCGCTGGCAGCGGCGCTGGGCTTGGCGCTGCCCGGACTCGCCTTGTTCCGCGAGCTGGGCTCGTGGGGAAGGCGCGGGACAGCTGACGGCGCCCGGATCCTGCACTGGGGCAGCCGCCCCGATGCCTTCGCGCTCAGCTATGCCGCCGCCCTGTCCGCGGTCGCCCTGTGGCACAGGCTGAAGGGGCTGGCGCGCCCCGGCGGGCTTGGGGGCTCCGCAGACGCTGTGCGAAGGCTCCTGGGCTTCTTGGAACCGGAGATTCGCCGCCTGCCGTTGGTGCTAACCTTGCTGGTTCTCTCCTGCCTGGGTAAGCAGGTGGCAGGGTCAAGGGCCCTGGAGGGTAAGGGTGAAGGAGAGTGGAGTGGGTTCTGGCACATGTGGATCAAGGTGTAGACCCGTGGGCTGTGAAGAGCTGGGGGCTGTGATGGGCATTAGGCATCCCAGAGGCCTGTTCTGCCCCTGCCCTGCGCCCCAGGGTGCATCCTGTCTCTAGGCCCCAGGGCTTGGCCTCTGACAGGCCCCCTTGATCTCCAGCCTTCTTAGTTAACCTGCAGGAAGGTGTGATGGGACAGCCAGAACACTGTGCAGAGCAGGTGGTCTCTCCAGCCTTGGGACCCCACCTTTCTCCAGGGTCACCGTGAAGGGGCCGCTGGGGGCAGGCTGGTTCTGGCTGATCACCCTCCCCTGCCAGGCCGACACCTCTCTCCCCTCTCTCGCCAGGGGAGATGGCCATCCCTTTCTTCACGGGCCGCCTCACCGACTGGATTCTCCAGGACACAGCAGCCACCACCTTCATGAGGAACATAACTCTCATGTCTGTTCTCACCATAGCCAGGTCTGGGCGCCGAGAATGGGGAGCCCGGGAGAGAGGGAGCTGCAAGTTGGGGCTGGCAGCACAGGGTGCTTCTGCGAGGGGCTGAGGCCTGGCGACCGCTCCCTAAGCTCTCTTCCTGATTCCATCTAGCGCCCTGCTGGAGTTTGTGGGCGATGGACTCTACAACAGCAGCATGGGCCGCTCTCACACCCACCTGCAAGGAGAGGTGTTTCGGGCTGTCCTGCGCCAGGAGACGGAGTTTTTCCAACAAAACCAAACAGGTGCTCATGAATCTCACCGTCTTTCATGCTCTTCGTATCCCCAGTCTTGGGTCACTGCTTACAACCCCATGGCTTTCTGTAATGTCTGCTGTTTGCTTTCTAATGAGGATGTTAAGCATTTTAGTCTGCTTGTCTTGCTTTGCTGTGTAAAACAGCATCAGGTGATGCCACATATAGCAAAATTGAGATGGGATCGTGTTTACCTGACATATGCAACTAACAAAAGCTATTCTTTACTTCCAGTTACTTCCTGTGGAAAGAGTACTATGTATTTAGAAGGAAAAAAAAATGTTTATTTTATGTGAAAGTCAGATTACAGAAAGGGAGAGACAGAAAGAGAGATACTGCCCATTCACTGTTTCACTCCCCAGATGGCCGCCATGGCCGGAGCTGAGCCGATACAAAGCCAGGAGCTTCTTCCAGGTCTCCCAAGTGGGTGCAGGGTCCCAAGGCTTTGGGCCGTCCTCCACTGCTTTCCCAGGCCACAAGCAGGGAGCTGGATCAGAAATGAAGCAGCCGGGACATGAATTGGTGTCCATATGGGATGTGGTGCAGCGGGCTGCGGCTTACTCCTCTGTACCCCTGTGCCAGCCCCTCACTGTGCATTTTGATCCCAATCCAGGAATGGGAATAGGCAAATTACAATGTTGCAGAAGGCTTCTTAAGATAACATTGTTGTCCTTGAATTATACTATGTATTTAAACTTCTTTTATTTTAACTACAGATAATTTCATGCATTCTGAATGCTAGTGCCTAGTGCTTAGTGTGAAAGTCACAAGCTGTTGGGAAAAAGACACACGTTGTGTTGATCTATAATTATTATACAGTTCTGGGGTGTTATTTCCCAGTAGCTGATTGGAGAATTGTGTCTCTTCCCATCAATATTGCTAAAAGTTGTGATTTTAAATCCTCTGTCCACCACTAGTTTCACTAGTAACTCTGCTGGGCTGTTACTCCCCACCTTCACGGCTCAGTACATGCCAGGTGTCGCTCACACGCTGCTCCCTGAGGTTCCGAAGGATTGGAGGCATCCTGATGAGCTAGCCGTTTCCCTAACTCGGTCTGCTGAGGAGTCCTGGGCTTTCTGTGAGGGCCTCATTCAACCCAGTAACTTCTGTTGGAGGAGAGTTCCCTAGCAGCCTGTACACTTTCCAAAGCACCTGCTCCTCTTCTTTCAATTTGATCCCAACTTCAAGCACACACACAGCATCTCCCAAGGCTTCCTGTGCAAAACTGCTGCTTTCCCTGACCCAGTACCGTTCTTGATTGTTGCACATTCGTGTTTCTCTGTGAATTTGCACACTGAGAGCAGAGTGGGCCCCGTGAGCAGTGTGTCTGGATGGTGTTTGCCCACAGCAGCCAGGACAGAAGCTGGCAGGGTGGGCGGATGCCA